GTCCGTCCAGGCTTTCATCCGTCACTGTCGCCAGACCTGGAATCAAGCCCGGATAACACTTGTTCGTTCGGCCAACCGGTACGCCTCCTCTGCCAACCGCTGACGTTCCAAGGCACCCATCTACCAGGTGGGCCAAAAGGTATGGCTGTCCATCCAGGATATTCCTTTACGGGTGGAGTCGAAAAAGCTTGCACCGAGGTTCATTGGACCGTTTGAGATTATAAGGATAATCAATCCCGCAGCAGTAAGGCTAAGACCGCCTCGGACTCTGCGGGTCCATCCCACCTTTCACGTTTCCAGGATCAAACCTGTCCGAGAGAGTGCACTGGTTCCTGCGGTCCCTCCTCTACCACCCCCCCGGATGATTGACGGCGGACCTACGTACACTTTCAATCGACTGCTTCGTTCCCGTCGCAGATGGAGAGGAGTCCAGTACCTGGTAGACTGGGAGGGTTACGGCCCTGAGAAGAGGTCTTGGGTTCCAGCCCGTCATGTGCTGATCCCCCGGCTCATCAGAGAGTTCCATCAGCGCAACCCCGAGCAACCTTCTAAGACCAACACAACGACGGGCAGAGACACGGGGAGAGTCTCTCCACATACTGTCAGCTCTTCCGAGGAGGACAGCGAGGGACCTGCTTCTGATGAGGACGCCGATTCCCACAGGGGGCAGGAGAAGGAGGCCGAAATAACTTTTTCAGATGAGTACTAACCCCACCTCCCACCCTCCTCTGTAGATTAGCGTTTAGGGACGCCAGGAGCCGTCCATTAAGGGGGGGGTTCTGTCACAGTCTGCTCCATCATTCACCAGTAGTTTTCCATTCACCTGTCTCACCTGTTAACCACACATACGTTTTTGCTCACTCTCTTTCTCTACTGCACCCATTAGTCATACTGCCAGTATTTAAACCCTCACCAGACACACACCCGTTGCCAGATCGTACTTTGCCTTCATGCTAGTCTTTCACGCATTTGTTACCAGATTGCCTACCCGGTTCCGACCCTGCCTGTCCCTGACCTGCCTGCTCTGCCTGTTCCCTGATCCTGCCTTGTCTGCTGTCTGACTCTGCCTGTACCTACGTTGCCAGCCTCGCCTGCTCCCTGACCCTCTGCCCGGCCCTGACTCACCTTCTGCCTGCTGTCCTCTGGTTCGTTTGCCAGCACATCATCCGGCTGTTCCTGTTCTGCTGGTATCCCTCTGCTCTGGTATTATTACCAATAAAGTATATTACCAATACTCCTTGGTTTCTCGAGTGCTGCATTTGGGTCTTTCATCAGATTGTGACAACAGTGCAGGCTTACAACAGCTTCTGAGGATTTGTTCCCAGTATGGCATTGATTTTAATATTAAGTATAACCCTAACCCGGTGGAACTCACCTCCTCTAGGGTTTTTTTTTTTCAAATGTTGAAGTTAAAAGCATCAATCTGGTGCACTTTGAGAGCAACAATAAGAGATCTATGGAAACATCTCTCAACACCCATATGAAACAGAACTGTAAACAGATTAACTTTTTCTTAATGCATATTTTACAAATCACTCTCCTTTTAAACTGTATTTTTGTGTTACTGTCCTATAGTAAGAGTTGGAATTATTTCATACCTGTTATTCTCTTATTTTTTACAACTATAATGATCATATAAAGGTGTGCCTTGGAAATACTTGTTTACATAAATGATTACCAAACCGTTTGAGACCCACTACTTAGACTATGTAAACCCTCAGAGAGTCCTTTACCTCACTGAGCTGTAGTTATCAGAGCCTCTCAGTCTGACAGGAGAGGACTCTCCTCCACCTCTCAGAGAGTCCTTTACCTCACTGAGCTGTAGTTATCAGAGCCTCTCAGTCTGACAGGAGAGGACTCTCCCTCCACCTCTCAGAGAGTCCTTCACCTCACTGAGCTGTAGTTATCAGCCTCTCAGTCTGACAGGAGAGCACTCTCCCTCTACCTCTCAGAGAGTCCTTTACCTCACTGAGCTGTAGTTATCAGCCTCTCAGTCTGACAGGAGAGGACTCTCCCTCCACCTTCCTTTTCTATCGAAGGTGCTGGAAAAACTAGTTGCTGCTCAGCTCCAGGACCACCTAAACTCCAACAACCTATTTGAGAAGTTCCAGTCTGGTTTCCGCTCAGGCCACAGCACAGAAACTGCCCTGGTCAGGGTCACCAACGACCTGCTGATGACGGCTGATGCTGGCTCTCCCTCTCTCCTCATCCTCCTCGATCTCACTGCAGCTTTCGACACCGTCGATCACGGCATCCTCCTCCATCGTCTGCACTCCACCATCGGACTCTCTGACTCTCCCCTTGACTGGTTCAGATCTTACCTCACCGGGAGAACAGAGTACTTCTCCTTGGGCGAGGCAGAGTCGGGTACCCACAACGTCACCTGTGGTGTCCCTCAAGGATCAGTTCTCGGCCCCACCCTCTTCACACTCTGCATGCTCCCCCTTGGCTCTATCATCAGCCGACATGGAGTATCATTCCACTGTTACGCTGATGACACCCAACTGTACCTCAGGATCAACCCTACCTCCTCTGCAGCCCTGCCTTCACCCACACTCACTGCCTGCCTGGAGGAGATACAGGCGTGGATGAAGCAAAACCTCCTGAAACTCAACAGCTCCAAGACCGAAGCCATTATAGTTGGCACCCCACACCAGGTTCAGTCATCCACCATCACCACCATCACCTTCTCCGGCCAGGACATTACCCTCTCCTCAATAGTCACCAACCTGGGTGTTAAAATGGACGCCCATCTGACCTTTGAGGCCCACATTAAACAGCTGTGCAAGAACTCCTTCTATCACCTCAGGAACATCGCCAAACTCCGCCCCACACTCACTCTGTCCGACGCCGAAAAGCTGGTCCACGCCTTTGTCTCCTCCAGGCTGGACTACTGCAATGCACTCCTCATCGGGATCCCTAACAAAAGCATCCAGAAGCTCCAGAACATACAGAACAGCGCTGCTAGGATTCTGATGAGGGTGCGCAAATACGACCACATCACCCCCATCCTCAAAGCACTACACTGGCTACCCGTAGAACTAAGGATCGAATTCAAGGTCTCCGTCCTCACCCACCAATGTGTCCATGGAACTGCCCCTCCCTACCTCAAGGAACTCCTCACCACCCATACCTCCTTGCGGACCACCCACTCCAGCAACTCCTACCTCCTCAGACCCCCCAGGACTAAGCTCCGTACCATGGGAGACCGGGCCTTCTGCTCGGCTGCCCCCAGTCTGTGGAGCGCTCTCCCCGACCACATGAGAGCACCACAGACCGTGGAGGCCTGATTCAACGGAGGTGAAAAGGACTTCAATTTGCATTTAACAGAACACCAACAATGAAACACATGAGCCCGTACTACAGTTTCAAAAAGCAGGAATAATCCTAAAATTCCATCTTAACTCTGAACTATTTTATTTTGTTCACATTATAAATTACTTATAATTTAAGTTAGGCAATATTATAAGGAGTCACTCTGTACATTTTCATTGTTATGCGGATGATACTCAACTATATTTATCCATCAAGCCTGATGAAATTAATCATCTAAATAAAATTCAAGACTGCCTCAAGGACTTAAAAACGTGGATGACCTTAAACTTGTTGATGTTAAACACGGCCAAAACTGAAGATATTGTACTCGGCCCAAAGAATCTACGATACAAATTATCTAAAGATATACTAACTATGGATGGCATTAATTTGGCCTCCAGTGAGACTGTAAGGAACCTTGGTGTTATATTTGATCAGGATGTATCCTTTAACGCCCACATAAAATCTATTTCAAGGACCGCCTACTTCCATCTACGTAACATTGCAAAGATCAGGCATATCTTGCCTCAAAACGATGCAGAGAAACTAGTCCATGCATTTGTTACTTCAAGGCTGGATGATTGTAACTCTTTATTATCAGGGTGTACCAAGAAGTCAGTGAAGTCTCTTCAGCTGATTCAAAATGCTGCAGCTCGTGTACTAACCAGAGTTAGGAAAAGGGACCACATTACTCCTGTTCTGGCTGCCTTACACTGGCTCCCTAGAGAACACAGGATAGCATTTACAATTCTTCTTCTCGCCTACAAAGCCCTTAATGGGCAGGCGCCATCTTACCTTAAAGAACTCATTGTACCCTACTGTCCTACTAGGGCATTGCGTTCCTAGAATGCAGGGTTGTTGGTCGTTCCTAGAGTCTCTAAAAGTACAATGGGAGCCAGAGCCTTTTCTTATCAAGCTCCACTTTTGTGGAATCAGCTTCCAGTTTGTGTTCGGGCGGCAGACAGCCTATCTGTTTTTAAGAGTGCGCTTAAGACCTTCCTTTTTGATAAAGCTTATAGTTAGGGCTGATTAGATTCAGCCCCTAGTTTAGCTGCTATAGGCTTAGACTGTCGGGGGACACCTTACTTCTTCCTTCTCTCTGTCTGTACCTGTGTACTCTCATGTTCCCAATAACCCAGCTTCCCCAAATCTCTTTTTGGTGTCTATCTACGCTGGGATCCTGAGTCCTGATCTGAGTCCTGATCTGAGTCCTGGACTTCGAGTCGTGGCTGAACCTGTCTCTGTGGTCCTGCCTGACTCTCATCATACTACTTCCCTGATGGCTCCCACAGGATTGTTGACATCCTCGTGGATTCATCTTCTTATTATAGACACATGCATTTCCAAACATGTGGTCTACCTATGTTGTAAATGTATTATCTTTTCGATTGACAGCCGGCATCTATTGCACGTCTGTCCGTCCTGGGAGAGGGATCCCTCCTCTGTTGCTCTCCCTGAGGTTTCTCCCATGTTCCTTTAAACTGTGGGGTTTCTCTGGAAGTGTTTCCTTGTACGATGTGAGGGTCTAAGGACAGAGGGTCTAAGGACAGAGGGTCTAAGGACAGAGGGTCTAAGGGCAGAGGGGGTCGTATTGTCATACTGATATTCTGTACAAACTGTGAAGTCCACTGAGACAAATGTAACCTTTGTGATATTGGGCTATATAAATAAACATTGATTGAACTCTAAATGAGCTGATTGTAATCTGTAAACACAAACAATATGCAGGAATGTGAGTCTGTTTCAAAGGCTTTTTTTTTTTAGTTTGGTTTGATGATATAAACAGAACAGAATCAAACTGGAAACATCGTACATATTCTCTATATCAATAAGTCATTGGTTCTTCTTTTAGACCAGAACAGACTGATAACTCAACAGGAACTATCAAACACATCCCAATGGAAGTTTCAAGTCACAACATTTCATTAACCAAACAGATTATTAGAGAAACTACTCTGCAGATGAATCAGTCAGTGGTTATAGTATAAATCAGAAAAGTAGTATGACAAAAACGTTAAACATATTCAAAACTTCTGTTGATAAAGATGGTGTTTATATGAAGTCATGTATGAACATTGTCACACAGAGTTTATACAGTCAGACAGATTTTCCTCATCTGAATTGTCGTAGGACTAATTAATTGCCCTCTTTTTTTGTTGCACATGCAGATTTGACTTGGAAAATGTCAGGTTCAGAAGAGTCTCCAGGGTTGTCCTCAGCCTCTGGTTGTAAATGTCTCTGGATCTGAGTTCCTGGCTGGTTCTGGTCCTCCACAGTCCTCTCCATCAGCTTCTGTTTCCATGTGTTCAGCTGAGCTGCTGGCTGGAGGCTCTGCCTCTCTGTTCTCCTCAGTTTGAGTTTGATGAAGCTGTGAGGACTGACGACCAACACACTTATGGCTTTTGACCGAACGACTCCGGGTGAATCTTTTATCACAAACACTGCAGCTGAATGGTTTCTCTCCTGTGTGGATTCTCATGTGTCTCTTTAAATCTCCTGTATCTGTAAAAGATTTCTCACAGACTGAGCAGCTGAATGGTTTCTCTCCTGTGTGGATTCTCAGGTGTCGTTGGAAATGTCCTCTCTGTGTAAAAGATTTCTTACAGACTGAGCAGCTGAATGGTTTCTCTCCTGCACTACGTCTTGAATCACTGACATGGTCTTGTTTATTTCTCTGAGAGTTTGATCCTGGTTCTCTGGTCTCCTTCCAATCATCACTGTCTTCAGTGTCTTTAGAAGAGTCTCCAGGGTTGTCCTCAGTCTCTGGTTGTAAATGTCTCTCTGGATCTGAGTTCCTGGCTGGTTCTGGTCCTCCACAGTCCTCTCCATCAGCTTCTGTTTCCAGGTGTTCAGTTTGTCTTTGATGAAGCTGAGAGGACTGAGGTTTCTCTTCATCATCTTCACTCTTCACAGGGACAGGAGTGAATGTGGACTTGGTGATATCAGCCTCCTCCAGCCCTTGAAGCTGCTCTCCCTCCTGACTGCTCCAGAGTTCCTCCTGTTCCTCTTTAATGTGTGGGGGGGGCTCTGGGTCCTCCTGGTCCAGAGTGGAGCTCCACTCCTGCTGCTCAGGGGGAACCTCTTCTTTAACCACCACCAGCTGCTGGACGTCTGCAGGAAACAGGAAACACATATTCAGAGAAACTCTAGAGTATTAGAATTTAAAATCTAACCACGAAGTTCCGCCCACTGTGTATTTCTGTTGGCTCGATTGTCTGTCAATTACACCTTTTTTCCAGATGCCCTGGAGAGTTTCAGGACAACAGGTGAGTTAGTACGGTAGCTGGTCTAAAACGTAGTTTCACTGCCGCTTAGCAAGGCGTCGGCCGTTCACGGAGTGTGAGGCCTTAGCCTTACAGTTTGTGACCTGTCTGCAGAGTCGTTAGCTGAGAACTGGTGTTGGAGTTTCTCAGAGTAGTCGTTTAGCATCTCTCACCGCCTTGCTAAACCTGTACTTGGACTCATACAGGTGCATCTCAATAAATTGAATATCATGGAAAAGTGAGTTTATATCAGTAATTCAATTTATAAAGTTTAAACTTATACATTACATAGATTCATCACACACAAAGTGATTATTTCCAGCGTTTTAATCTTGATGATTGCAGCTTACAGCTAATGAAAAGACAAAACAAAGCATTGAATATTACATAAGACTAGGGTTCCAGATGAGAACCGAGTTTCGGCGCATGATGTCCATAGTTAACCGCAAATTAATCGCACATTTTCTATCTGTTCTAAATGTACCTTAGAGGGATATTTTTCAAGTTTTTAATACTCTTATCAACATATGAGTGGACAAATATGCTTTATATGTTTGTTTAATATCATTTGATTGGCTTTATCTTTCTTACAGTGCAGACGCTTTTCCGCTTGCTCTTGCCTCTGCTTACTTTTTATGCTGATTTTCCTATTCTTATTCTCTGAAAACTTCGAGCAGCGGCTCCTGGACATTAACTTATCACTGGGACAGTTATTCTTCGTAAATAGACGGAGGGTTTCAGCCATATTTCAACATTTTTACGACGACCTCAGTCTTACAGTAGCGTGGCCTCGCAACAGCTAAAGCCTGGTAGGCTATTGCATGCTATTTAGCTTAAGCTAGTTGGTAGCAAAATGCCTCCCTTCTCTACAGATGACTTCCACAAACTTTTACAGAAGATGGCTGTGTTGGAAATGAAAATGCAACGGTTGGAAGTTAACGTGGAAGTGAATGGACTATGTTGTGGGAATAACACCACTTTACCAGTGTTGCAAGATAATGGAAAAGGGTATGCTAACTCACAGCTAGTTAGCAGCTACAAGGTTTCCAAGGAACAGGAGGGCTGTGTACTGGGTAATAAATCTACAAGTGGTAGTCCTCCCTGGAACTCTCTGGGTGCAAAGCCTAAGAGTAAATCATTTCCATGGGATTTGGGAGGACGAATAACAGGCAGAGTCCAGCGCTCTGAAATCTGTGATGCGACCGGCTGGCCTGCATTGTTATCACCCAGGAAGAGTGCCTCTTCAACCCCTATTCATACTAGGAAACAGCCGTGGACAGCTGCTAAAGGGAGAACTACAAACAATCCTCCTAAACCACCAAGTGTGCCAATCCAGAACAGATACGCTCCGCTGACCGAGAACCGGAGATCTCTTTCTGATGACCTGGATAACCTGTCCTCTTCACACAGCAGGGTAAGGACCAATAGCTACTCCAAAAGTAAAAGGCTAGAGGGAAAGCTAACGACTGGGCCTGAAACTCTGATTGTGGGTGACTCTGCTGTAAGAGATGTAAAAGGTCTGTGTAGTAAGAACAACACCAAAGTACTCTGTTTTCCCAAGGATATGGTCTCCGACTTGGCTGAGAAGATCCTGCATATTGGGGCTGAACATCCGACTGTGAAGAATGTGGTACTACATATTGGAACAAATGATGTTGAGAAACAACAGTCAGAAGCGCTGAAAGAAGACTTTAAATGTCTGTTGGAAACTGTCAGCTCTCTAAATGCGGAGGTGTTCATCAGTGGCCCTCTACCGCCAGTCAGAAGAGGAGTGGAGAGATTCAGCAGACTGTTTGCATTGAACACGTGGCTTTCAGCTGCCTGTACTGACCATTCTGTCCATTTTATTGACAATTTTAACTTTTTCTGGGATCGCAGACATCTTTTTAAGGCAGATGGAGTTTGCCTGAACAAGTCAGGAGTGAAATTGTTTATCTCTAACATATTCAACTGCCTGCGTCATCAATCTGTTCCCTCTGCCAAGGACAAGCGGCAAGAGGAATCAAAACAGGAGAAAGACACAACACATTGCGCAGAAAACCCTGAAGAAGTATCACTGCACCCGCCTGAGGAATGTTCTGATTATGGGAAACCTATGACACAAATGGAGGAGTCTCCACTGCCCGTCACCCCCCCTGTCAACGCCTTTGAGGATACTCTTCATTCATCCCCCAGCTCTCTCTACTCTCCACTCACCCTTTCACCCTCGCCCTCCCCCCTGGAGTTCGATGACCGCATGAAGGCGATACGCAGGGTTGGCAGCATGTCCTTTACCCCCGCCCCTCAACGACGCCCACCAAAATCACCGAAGACAAGCCTACGTCAACCACCTCCCCCCCCTGGCAGCATGTCCTCTACCCCCGCCCTTCCACAACGCCCACCAAAATCACCGAAGCAGAGACGCGCACCATCTCCCCCGTCTTCATCACCGTGCCTACGTCAACCACCTCCCCTCCCTTCAAGAAAGCATCTGCAGTCTCCGAAGCCTGATAAGGATGTGTGTGTACAAAACACAACAAACTCTTACTGATATGTGCTGGGTCCAGGCTCAAGGGCGTTTGGCACTCGCAACTCTTTCCATCACATGCCGGGGCCCTGCCTGCCAGTAGCTTTCCCGATATCTGTGTTGATAGGTAATAGATTAAGAGCGGTAAATCAGCTTAGAAACAAGAAGTGCTCAAACATTTGTGTGAGGTTATCAAATTTAGCAGTGATTCCATGTCAGCCACAGCTTGTCACAAATGTTTTTACTGATAGTGTATTCAACAAACTTAAACTAGCTTTATTAAATGTCAGGTCTTTGGCAGGAATAACATTTTTAATCAATGATTTTATCACTGAGCACAATCTGGATTTTATGTTTTTAACGGAAACTTGGATTGAACAAAATAACAGTGCAGCTGTTCTTATCGAATCAACCCCTCCCAACTTTAGTTTTATGAGTCAGGAAAGAATGCATAAGAAAGGGGGTGGAGTTGCTATTTTGTTCAATGATTCCCTTCAATGCAGGAAGACATCTTATGGGGACTTTGCTTCTTTTGAATATGTGGCCCTTCAGCTGAAATGCTCCTCTCGAGCTCTGTTCCTAAATATCTATAGACCACCCAAATACTGTGCAAGCTTTTCTGATGACTTTACTGAACTGCTGTCTATAGTGTGTATTGACTTTGACCGTTTAGTCATTGTTGGTGATTTTAACATCCATGTTGACAACCCCCAGGACAGAGGGGCTAAATAACTGTTTTGTGTTCTTGATAACTATGGACTGACTCAGCATGTGGCGGAGCCCACGCACAATAAGGGGCACACTCTGGACTTAATTATCTCAAAGGGTCTGAATATCTCAAAGGTTGTGGTGACTGATGTTGCACTCTCTGATCATTCCTGTGTTTTCTTTGAGAGCTCTATTTCTGTTCACAAAAATGTTCAGAAAGAGGTAACCACAAAGCGATATTTAACAGAAAATACTAGGGAAATGTTTACTCATAATTTTTCATCCACACTCTCCCCTGCTAACATCTCAGTAAATGAGCTAGTAGATCATTTTAATTCAAAAATTAAAAATGTTATAGATACCATTGCTCCAACTAAGGTAAAGGAAGTGACTGGCAAGAAAAGATCTCCATGGAGAAAGGCCATGACCGTGAGAACAGAAAAAAGAGAGTGTCGAAAAGCTGAACGTAGGTGGCGAAAAACAAATCTCCAGGTTCACTTTGAAATCTATAAAGAGAGACTTGGCCTTTATCATTTGGAATTGAAAAACGCACGACAGTCTTTCTTCTCTGACATCATTACCAAAAACAAAAACAACGCACGTGCCTTGTTTGCTACCGTCGACAGACTAACTAACCCCCCAGTGTCAGTAGCCTCTGAATTTCTATCCACCAGGGCGTGCAATAATTTTGCCTTCTTCACTGACAAAATTCAGAAAATTAGACAAGCAGTCAGTGCCTCTGCATCAGGTACAGCAAATGTGTTGTCCCTATGTCCACCTAATATCAATTCAAACACCATGACACAATTCCATCAGATTAATGGTAAAAACTTAGAGGACATTATTCAACTTCTGAAATCCTGCTGCCTTGATATTATTCCAACAGGATTTTTTTCAAAGATGTTTTTCCTTGCATGGCCTCAGATCTACTTCATATAGTAAACAAGTCTCTTCACTCAGGTATTTTTCCACAGGCCCTGAAAACTGCAGTCATTAAACCGCTCTTAAAAAAGAATAATCTAGATGCCTCAGTAATGAACAATTACAGGCCAATATCAAACCTGCCATTTCTAGGTAAAATCATTGAAAAAGTAGTTTTTCAACAGTTGAGTAACTTCTTGCATTTAAATAACTGTTTGGATGTGTTCCAGTCAGGCTTTCGTCCAAACCACAGCACTGAGACTGCTCTTGTAAAGGTCTTCAATGACATCCACTTAAACACAGACAGTGGCAGAACTTCAGTGTTAGTATTATTAGATCTCAGCGCTGCGTTTGACACTGTTGACCACAACATATTACTAGACCGACTAGAAAACTGGGTGGGACTTTCGGAAACAGTTCTAAATTGGTTTGAGTCCTACTTAAAGGACAGAAAAAAACTTTGTTTCTATAGGTAAATACACATCTGAGTTGACAAATATGACATGTGGGGTACCTCAAGGCTCCATCTTGGGGCCTCTTCTCTTTAACATCTACATGCTACCACTGGCTCAGATAATGAAGAACAACAAAATAAGTTACCATAGCTATGCGGATGACACACAAATTTACGTAACAATTTCACCAGGAGATTATGCTCCAATTCAAACACTGAGTAAGTGCATTGAACAAATCAATGACTGGATGTGTCAGAA